AGTACGGAACCCACCTTCATGCTCATCAGAGGAAAGCAGATGACCACTAGCCATGTTGACAGTCAGGTTTAGAAATGCCTTTGCTACACATGCTTACCTTTACAAGTATCTTCAAACACGAAATTTCCCCTCTTTCGTTAATAATTGTCCTATTTTTCAGGGTGACCTTATAATTATGAAACGGTGCAAAAACCGATAAACTGTTCTAAAAAAGTTCAGAAGAATGCAGCAGCGGCTAAGCGACGGATACCTAGGTTATTCGTGCTGGGGAATCTGTTCATGATGCTAGAAAAAATCCTTAATGATTACTTTTTTTGAAAGTGCAAAAATTGAGGGTGACCTTATAATTATGAAACGCACTGTATGATGGACAAAACTAGAAAAAAGAGAAAAAACCCTTAGAAGAAGTCAATATTTTGATTCTGGAGATTACTTGGGGTCGCATCTATGTTTTGAATGTATAGATCTTCAGTTTTTCTCGAGTTTTATGAATGTTTGCATTGGCTGTGAAAATTACAGCATCGAGCTGCAACAATTGTTGTATTTTGTCGTTAGGCAACTTCATTCCACTCACAACAGGAGAAAGTTGAAAGTGAGCGTGAACGTCTCCGGAACTACAATAAAAAAGGGTGGTGTGGGAAAAGCTCAGCAAAGGTAGCAAAGGTGCATTCTACGAAGGTAGTAACTCGCTTCGCCTCTTACGACTCGACGAGAACAGCTCTAAAGCCCAGGTGGGATGGAACATTCGTTCGATTCGGATTGCACGCGGCAAGCTACGCGGAAATTCATAGCGACTTTGACGACTTTAACGCCTATGTATTATTGGGGCACAAACTTGAAGTAGAGTAGATTAGTAGGATCAGCTGACCATACTAATCTAGGTTAGGTAGAAGCTTGAGACTTTTTTGAAAGGCCTTCTCTCTTCCAACTCAGCAAATCTACAACAAATTCGAAAATGGATAAACACCACATCAGTTGTAAACGCAATTTACCGAATTCCCAAGGGAAATGCAAAATTTGGCATTACGAAGAGTGGAACTTCGTATTTGTGTTCAAACACTGACTATGTTGACCTGACTGTTATCAACTTCTGAGTGATTTTTCAACGGAGAACAGCCATCGACTGTCCCTCAGTTCTGTCTGGTTGTGATTGGGCACTTGAACAAACGTTCGAATTGCTCTATCTAAAGCCACTTGTGGCACTCTGGTACGGTAGTGCTGTACCCTCTTGAACTTGAGCAAACAATAGAGCTGTGTAGAGGTTATGTACGTTGGCCAGAACAGATAGCTCAACATATTGAAGGTGGTTACCATAAGCAAGTGTAAACGCAAAAAGATGTGTAGAATGGTCATGAATACCACATATGTTCGAAGGAGTTTTGGGAGGTTCTGCGGGCCATGGCTCCCCAGCGGGTTCTGTTCGCAGTTCGCAAAACATAGAAAAAATAACCGAATCTTAGTTTTTGGTAAAGAACTTTTCAAAAATTTTGAGAGCACTCCTTAAGATTTGAATCTTGACGCCTACCGCTAATTTGCCACGCTGCCCTCCAGCAGTAGCGGTTTCAGGACAGGAATCCTACAACAGGTGGTTGTTTATAGTTGCGTCATCGAAGTGTGGCTTTTCGCTGCCAGACGCGTCCCGCATCAACGTGATACGCACTGACGCAACATGGTTTCCTTAAATGAACCCTCTCCCCTTCTTAAGGGCACTACACTTAATCTAATCTCGATTATTACGTAAGCGGAAGGTTAATCTCCTCGTTAAGGTAACCATTGGAACTGAAGTCAATCAATACAAATTGGAATGCCTGTTTGACTTTGTTTGCCATTGGCTGTAGGGATAATCCCCATAGGTCCTCAAAACAATTAAGAAGAATTAGTTTTGGTAATGAGCGGTTGGAACGCCTTTAGTAGGCTTGGACCCGGAAAATCCTCTGATCGGCTTAATTGCTGCCGTGGCAATGCTGCTCATTTTATAAATCTCAAAAATAGATCACGGACGAGGCACAAAGAACTCACTCTTTTATTAGCAACGGACGCAGATGATGAAAGTCGATGAAGGGCGCTTGAAAAAACAGCGCTGACTGGTCGTCGTTTCCTAGAATATTCTTTCTTATGCTGACAATTGGATAATTCTTTTTAGTAACAAAAAAATCATTAGCCATGGTAGCTACGCCATGAAAATCGAAGAATAACAGGTTAAGTTGACAGAATAGTTATCAGACATCGAAAACGAGAACCAGGACAGTTTGACGGCTGGTAATGGCTCTGCGTCAAAAGGATCACCCAACTAGTGTGAACACCAACTCGAGGAAAGCCATTTCACTTTTGAGTAAAAGGAAGCCAAAACATCTCACGATAAAAATGACTTCTGAGATGTCCCCTTAGTAAAAATCTGTGCCCCCCTCTTATACCATATTTGGCGTTGTTAGGTCGAAAAACTACCAGAGAGGGTGTTATGAGGGCTCAAAGATTGTTTCCTTGTATGCCGCACTAAAGGCTGACAAGTTTTACGGCGTTGTAGAGGTCCCATCTTTTACAAACGACACCCATCAAGGACGTTCAAACAACTTTTCATGACCCACGGCGACAGTGGAAGG